CGCCGTAATTGATTGGGTTGCCGCTCGGCTTGACATGATGAGAGGTTTATGAAAAGAAGACGCACCAAGCCCCACAACTATCCATCAACTATATATATGTATATGTATATCAATCTCTTTGGGAACTTGGGCCTCTCTTGCCAAAGCTCCTCTCCACGCTGGACCACTCGAGACTAACAACATCATTTCTAACACCATTAATTTGTAATTTGTTGTGTTTTTTTGAATTTTTATTATGGTTAGTGGATTCATGGTATAATTGCATGGATTACATAATCAACGTTTTGTTAATTATCCTCCAATGTTAATGTCATCGCGTGCAATTATGGGTTAAAAATGTTACTATTGATATAACTAGAAAAATCTGATAAATATCATATCAGCAAGCATGATAATAGATAGATGATTATATATTTAACTTTATGTGACACAAAGTAGACTAGCATAGAGTGTAAAATTTACAATCGATTTGTATTCAAGAATAATGACCAATTTGATTTTGTTTGATGATAAATTCATTATCTAAGATTGATCTCGAGAACAATAAAGAAATTATATCGTCGTAACATAAATAAGGAGAGAAATTTTTTTTTTCTTTTTATTTTTTTAGAATTACATATAGAATGTCATATAGCTATGTGTAATAGCTATAACAATAAGGTTAAAGACAATAATATGTGTGACCTATAATATGAGCTATGTAAATAAAATGTTAAAAAAACTGATGTAAAGGATCGGAAAAAGTGTGTGCGTGTGTTTTATATTGAGAAGGAGATTTCATTGAAATGATGCCTACGATCTTCAACATTCATGTATATCTGCTATAATTATATAACTATATAATTTTGTTTCATCATGTAGGTGGGGAAACGCCTCGAGACTTTGTTCAAATTATTCCTCCAAAGTCTATTAGGTTGCCCACGGTATTGATCAATCAGTCTACTTTGCAAGGGACCCTTACCTCACTTTGTTAGGCAATGTTTAGAATAATAAATATGATCATATTACAAATACACACACATATAAATATATATGTATGGACACACACAAATATGTGTATGGTGTGCTGTTTTGGTATGACGTTTCGACGCTACATAAATAAATAAATAAATATATATATATATATACACCTTTGATGGCTTTAAGAGTTCGAAACTAATTTTAAAGTTGCTCCAAAAACAATATCCAAACATACGTTAGAAACAATATATACAAACATATATTAGCTATAGATTTACAATACTTTCTCTCTAGCCTTTCGAGAATTCTAAAATACGAAAATATTTTATTGTCAGATTTACAATACTTTTTCTCTAGTCTTTTGACTCTGTTTTGAATCGTCAAATTTATATATCGGGTTTAATCAATTTTGATCTATACATTTTCATCATAAACATACACTACCATTAGAGATTCCTTATCGTTGAAAGCTGATCTCTAGTGATCGTTATCCTTGTATACAGTAAAGAAGAATATTGCTGCCCTAGTAAGCATCTTCAAGTTCTTCACTACGAAAAGCATATGGCTAAAAGTCATTTAATTAGTTGTAAGAAATTTGAATGGTTTGAAGTGCTAATTCTCAACGCTACGCCACCTTTTACCTACATATATATTGTACTTCCAATAATGTAAACCGCGTAAAAATTGTCAAAGCCCTACTATTCTACGCGCTTAAAAATGACAATTTGTCTTTCAATTATGCAATGACCTAGAAATATAGTGATAAAGTAATTTTTAAAGTGATTTTGATCTTAGCTATAGACTTAGGGGTCGAGAACCAGACAAGAATACCGATTATCAAAATATTTATAAGGTTTCACTTTCAACCAAAGCTGAAGAATATGACAAAATTAAGGCATAATGGATTGTGTGGAAGAGGGAGAGATTTCTTTTTTCTTTTTTTTTTTTCTCCTTTTTAATATTTTCTTTTGAAAAACTTCTTTCTTGTAAGTTCTTCTTTGCCAAAAGATATTTGAAAAAAGAAAAAAAGAAAAAGAAAAAGAAAAGAAAAGAGAACTTTTGTAATAGAGAGAATTGTAGCAAATTAGCTTTTGCATAGGGTTCCACAGGGTTGGTCTTTTTTTGGGTCGTCTTGCTCTTTGATGGCTGATTGTGGGACAAATATCACCGACCCCTCCTATAGTGATTTCTTACCATTCCCATTATTTTCCCTTTTACATGCTTCATGATCTACAACTTTCTTTTTTTTTTTTTTTAAATTTTCTTTTGAGATTCCCTCTCCAAAAAGCATATGTTTTTACATGCACGTCATTTTCTCATTTCTAATCTTATCATCAGAAATTACGTGCCATATTTTTCATACCAATATCAAATCGTATATGTGTGCAGTAGTAATAATATGGTCTCCACTACATGATGAGAGTTTCAGGTTTGTTTACTTGAATTAATACCTCCTTTTTGGCGGGAGACTTCACTATCAAAGGAAAGAGACGCATGAGATGCCCATTTGTAGTTTTTTGCCATTTGGAGGGCTCCACTAATTGAATATTTGAAAAGCTAGAGATTAGACAAGATTAATGTTCATATGCTTGTTTTCCTACGCCACGTGGCGATAAGCAGTCTCGTCCACGTGCTCTGGCTAATTACTTAACTGTCATTGGTAGGTAAAATCCGTTTTTGTTAAGCCCTAAGTGAAAGTTAACCATGCATAGTACATGTTGTTAATCCATTTGATTTCTATGAAACAGTAGGTGATTATGTACTAGGATTAGTACTAATCAGATTGAAACTATGATGGTTTCAAGGTACTTATGGAAATGGAGCTTGAAGCAAATTAAAGGTTAATTTCTTTTGTAAATAATTTTCTTTCGATTTAAATTTTAATTAATTAGTACTTAATTAGCCAGCTAATACTGCTTTTGGCCCACGTAGAGATTTCAATTTGAATTTTTTTATAAAGTTCAAAAATCAGATTTGTCTGAATTTATCATAGGCAGGTTTACGTCCCTTTAAGGAAAGAGTTGTGTGGGGTTTTTATTTTCCTATTTAATTTTCTAAGTTTTTGGTACTCACCCAAATTATGAATTATTTGACAATTTTAAATTTTCTCGTAGCCTACGCATGATGAAGTATAAAAGGGGTATTTTGGTTCCACTGATGAAGACTACCATACCATATATATGTTTTCACTATCAATTTTTTCCATCATCTTATGATGTTATCCCTTCTTGTTTTAAATATTATACACACACACATAAACCTCGTTCGCTTCGTGGATTTAAATTTTCAATTCGAACTGAGATGTGATATTTTTTGAGAGCTTTTAACTGTAGCAAAAAAAGTTAGATGTGATATTTTCTGAGAGTTTTTAATTGTAGCAGAAAAAGTTAAATGTGATATTTTCTGAGAGCTTTTAACTGTAAAAATTTAGAACAGAAAACTCAAATCGATAAAATGAACTAGGCTATATTATCCACATACTGGTGTTAGAAGGTTGACTTTGGAGACAATGATCAGTTTTGAACTTCTAGCACTTGCTGAAAATTTTTGTTGATTTTGAAGATATAGTCACAACATTTTTTTCCCTTTAAATAAATATCATTTACTACAATGTAACGAATACGTGCAAGTAATTTCGAAAGCCATTGTTTACCAAACTTATTTATCAAGTTTTATCAACTTATATCTTCATTTAAAAATGTTACAGAAATCTTGGTTAATAAAAATTTTGAAGTATTTGGTTAACCAATTATGAGTCATGAGATGGCATTCAAATATATTTAGCAAATTGATCAATTAATTTGTTTGATAGTATCATATGCGTTGGTGTTGATTAAATAATAATAATAATAATGAGATTGCAAAACAAGGATGTTATCTAATCGCAACTATTTTAAATTCAAAAATATATTGTAGCAACAATATATTACACTAACAACAGTAAATTAAAATCAACAAACTATCTACACTGAACATTCACATGACCCTGAGCTACCAAGTAACACCATCCACATAAAACAAAAGACTTTCAATTTTCAATTTTGAAAAAAACTATTTAATTTCTTCTATATTCTATAATATGAACTAAAATATTTCTACCCACGTGCTCCTCCCCATCGCGTGGCCACACCCTCAAATCCAATTGGAGACAACTAGATTTGGCCGGTGTCCAAACGAGACCAACAAGAAGTCCCCGCCAATTGATACAGAGCGTCCACAACACGCGCCATACGTGCACGTGAAACAACAAAAAAGAAGACCCCCCACAAAAAAAAAAAAAAAAAAAAAGGCTGCTTAAATCAAATAGCATGAATTTTCAATGGGGAAATATTAGGGTGTGAATGGTGAAAGTTAAGTCACGAAGATGGTCATGTCCCCTTTAAACCCCCAACCAACACATTATTCAAAAATTTGAACCCCACAAAACCAAAGTCATCATCCATCCCACATACACATATACATACAAATCATATCATATAAATGATGTTTTGTATATATATATATATATATATATAGTATATTCGTATTTATAATAATAATAATAATAATAATAATAATATATCCTTAGATTTAAATAATATTATAGTGAGTGCAATGTGGGCTTAGTCTACTCTGTGCATTGATCCAATTAATGTTATTGTCATGGAATTCAGCGTTATTTTCAAACTTCCCTTCATACCCGCGCACTAAAGCGAGAATCCGTTGATAGATATTATTATTATTATTATTATTTCTATTTCTTTCCCTTGTGAGAGTAGTAAGAGAGAGAAAGTTTCAAAAAAAAGTTAAACAACAAACAACAACAACATATTATTTTATCATTGCTTACTATTATAGTCATTTTTTTTTCTCTACATTTCCAGTCAGTCCCACTTCCAAAAACTCTCTCAAACTTCTAAAGTGTCACTTCCTCAGATCTACGGTTTTACATTTTACATGAATTATGAATGAATGTATTCTACATCCTTTGAAAAAAAAGATACTTTTTTTTTTTTCCTTTTTAGTAGTGGCACTTACTTAGTATTCCATTTATAGTTCTCATTGTCAAGTATTTCCCTTTTTTCCATGTTCGGTTTTGGTGACTGGCTTCTCTTCATTCTTTCTTTGTTCTCTGTGTTTGAAAACTTTGAATTCCTTCCTAAGAATCCTAGGCAGTTTTCGGTGTCTTATAATAAGAGTCTTCTTTGCCAAATGTTCTACTATTAGTACATGTAGTCCCTCTTCTTTTTAAACACCAAACAGTACCTGTAAAGGTTAAGATTAAAAAAAAAAAGAAAAAAAAAAGAAGAAAAAAAGAAGAGGGAAAGAAAGAGTGCCTTTTGGAGGAGGAGTGGGGATATGAAGCTAATTTAATATATAGATAGATACCATTACTTAGTTATAGTTACCATTGAGGAACTGTAATTAAAAAAAAAAAACAAGAGAGAGAGAAAACAAAAAGTTGGGTTTTTCTTGGTATGCTTTTTGGATTGGATAAAGGGAAGGAGCGTCTAAGAAAGGAGAAGAAGAGCGTGTTCTGTTGAATTATTGAGATTAAAAATACAATGCACAACAACAACAAGAACAAGAAGAAGACTTGTTCTTCTTCTACTTCTTCTGCTAATGAAGATTCCAAGAAGAAGGAGCGTCACATTGTTACGTGGACTCAGGAGGTCCACTTTCTATTATCTTCTTCTTCTCTGTTTCATTCCCATTTCTATTTATTTGGAGCTTTTTCTATTTCATCACTTTTCATTGGTTTTTTTTTTTTTTTTTTTTTTTTTTTTTGGGTTTTGTTTTTTTTTTTTTTTTTTTTTTTTTTTTGTTTGGGTTCTGGTTGTTTAATCTTCCTAAATGGATGATTATCTGATTTGGGTTGTTTGAGTTTCAGGAGGATGATATACTTCGCCAGCAAATTAGCCTCCACGGAACTGAGAAGTATGAATCTTTGACAACCTTCTTTTTGGTTGTTCTGTATTGGTTTTGTTCCGATTCCATTCGGGGGGGGGACCATTGATTTTCTCGGGAAAATGATTGTTTCTCTATCGTTTTCTGTATGCAGTTGGGCCATCATTGCATCAAAGTTCAAGGATAAAACGACCAGGCAGTGCAGAAGAAGGTAATCGCTATTGGGTTTAGGACTAATTGTTGTTAATGTTGGTTTTATGTTCTCTGTTATTGTTACGGATTCATTTCTATTTGTTATTGTCACTAATTTCGTCTGACTGTGTTTTGAGTATTTTTGCAGATGGTATACATATTTGAATTCTGATTTCAAGAAAGGGGGTTGGTCTCCAGAGGAAGACTTGCTCTTGTGCGAGGTATTTAGTGCTTTCTTTTAATCATCTGAAGTTCATATATTGATAGGATATGGTTTATTTGATACAAACCCAATACTTAAATCCTAAGCTTGACCTAGTGAAATCATATTTTTTTTTCTTTTTTTGTGTTTTTAGAGCCATTTATATGGTATTTCACTTTAAGGCAAACTTAAGTTAAAGTAGGTGTTTATTTTACTTTCTAATCTGTCGGCAAAAAGTTAAGCACAAAAATGGCAACATAGTAATCAAGATTAGTATTATTTACCCATCATTGGTTACAACCTAATCTCATACGGTGATCTGCTTCTAGGCTCAGAAGATTTTTGGTAACAGATGGACAGAAATAGCAAAGGTTGTCTCAGGCAGGTATAGAAAGCCTTACATTTATTTTCCCCATTTCTTGAACTATACAGTTAATCCATGATCATAGAAGCAAATCTCATTCTTGGCGTTGCCTATGCAGAACCGATAATGCCGTGAAAAACCGATTCTCCACCTTGTGCAAGAAGAGAGCAAAATATGAAGCTTTGGCTAAAGAGAACTCTACTACATACATGAACTCAAACAACAAAAGGGTTTTGCTCAGAAGCGGGTTTAGTACTGATGGAACTTCGGAAACCGTAGGATCTTCTACTAAGAAGATGAGGTATAATGAAAATGCTCTTTGGATCACAGTGATAGGCAGTTTGTTCCTTGCTTTATATGGTTGGAGCTCATTCTTCATGCAAAATGCAATACAGGAGAAGCCACATCTCTGATATCACTAGCAGCTACAACTTCGGAGACAGATTGCATAAGCAATGCAGGACGATAACAGCAATGAATCAGCAGTTAAGAGCACCGTTCGCGGTTTTAGTTCAGAATTCTCACAACATTAACAAGTTGCCAACTCAACATCATGTCAGCATCACCAAGGAGATTGTTACTGATGGTAAATCACCTCAACTTAAAAGCATTTTCGTTTGCAAGATCATCATAACCTGAGAAACACACAGTGAGGAGAAGTTTGAGATCCATACATAAACAATGTTGGTCAATTTTCGGTTTTGGGAATTTCGGATTATCTGTTTTTCTCCCCGAATCAAAACTGATCAGGATGATATAACAATAATTTTTATTTCTTTATCTACTATTAGCAGCACAAAATATCAAGTACCAAGGATCATTCCTCAGAAAGGATGACCCGAAGATTAATGCTTTAATGCAACAAGCGGAATTGCTTAGCTCATTGGCATTAAAAGTTAACACCGATAACACAGATCAGAGTCTTGAGAATGCTTGGAAGGTGAGAAAAATACACAATGCTCGCATGAACATGAAAAGCTATCAGATCGAATTCTAGCCAAGCAAATACAGTCCCTTCAATCTAAAATAATATAAACTTTAAACATATTCAGCCTTTATATTCTCCACTGTTTAATCAAATACTTATGTGCAGATGCTCCAAGATTTCCTGCACCAAAACAAAGAAAGTGACATCCTCGGATATAGGATCAGTGACTTTGACTTTCAACTTGAAGATTTTAAGGATTTATTAGATGACTTAAGGAGTAACAATGAAGGAAGTCGACCATCTTGGAGGTAATAAAACTTGTTTTCAAAATAATATTTTATATCTATGTATGAGCGGATTTTGATCACCAAATAGCACCTAAATTAATGTTGACAAATAAATTCCAGGCAGCCTGATCTATATGATGAGTCTCCTGCTAGCTCTGAGTACAGTACAGGGTCAACTGTCATGTCCCATACAGCAGGTGATAAAATCAGAGCTGAGATGGGTGCTCTGGAGCACGATACCGGCCCAGGTTCACAGTCGATCCATATCGGAGAAGAAAGTTGTGTTGGTGAATGCGATAAAGGGATGCTTTGCGGTGGAACCAGAGAACAAGGTAGTGACTCATTATGTGATATGCTAAGGATGATTACTTAGTTTTAGTTGCAGCATTTTACTTAGAATCTGTTGACAAAAAATTTAATCTCATTGCAGCTGAAATATTTCCAACTTGTGATGAAGGAACAAGCACAGAGTTTAGTTCCCCTACTCATGTCACCCCGTTGTTCAGATCCTTGGCAGCCAGGAATTCCCAGCCCCAAATTTTCAGAAAGTGTAAGTTTTCCTTTAGAATTTTGTACTTCTAACAATATAGTATTAGAAACATCAGAAGTCTGAGTTTTGTTAAGGACAGACAAAATTATGCACCCAGTTAAAATTTTTTAAGAGATAAACAAGCGTCTAACTATGCTTGTCACTGTAATACCTAATAATTGAAGCTATACAATTAATTACTATGTGCCAAGTAAAGCTCTAACACTTAGCAAAAATAATGGGACAAAAAATATTAAAGGAAAAATATAGCTTGGTCAACTCTCTAGAAAATAAAAAAATTTGGTTGCTCCACCTTAGGTAGCTTCTAAAAAGTAGGATCTGTCATATCCCTAACTGGTTTTTTGGCCACGTTATGTATAAGTTAGTTTACAAGGCACTAAGAATGAAAAAAAAAAAAAAAAAAAAACAACAACAACAAATATCATTAGTTACTAACTTAGGAATAACTTAGTTTTAAGTAAGAAAATAGGGAGGGTGGGAAACAAAATTCTAATCACCAAAAGAAAATTATATTCGAGCGTCTGCCATCAGGCAATATCAGGCATTGGATGTCACCTAGATGGCTATAAAACATTTTACCAAATATACTACAACTTAAATGATCTAGATGAGTGATTCTTTTACATCTAACTTATGCTTACTTTCCTTGCATGCATCAGAATATATAAATGCTATTTTTATATACATATATATCCTATTTATATTCAGGTTCATTTATGCAGAATCTTCATGTCTTACTCATAACATTAATCTAGATTAGTATTAGGACTTTCCTATGTTTATGTATCAAGCATTTTGTTTTAAAACTAACGACTCATTTTTTGCAATCTTTCTTCAGGAGAGAAACTTCTTGCTTAAAACACTTGGAATGGAGTCCCCATCCCCTTGCCAGGCCACCAATCCTTCACAACCACCATCCTGCAAAAGAGCCCTCCTCCACAGTCTATAACCAAACCTTTCTGGTGCAGCAAAATTTAAAAAAAAAAAAAAAAAAAAAAAAAAAACTTTTTGTTTAGACCCCATTTCGGATTTCCCCATCTTGTTTTAAATTTCCCTCCGGAATGCAGCATCGAAATTGGCCCAAAATTTTACAAGAGGCATGTTTGGATCTGCATTCCAGAACAACTCCCCTCCCTCAAGCTCTAGAATGCTATCGGGCGCATTCTAGAACATGTAAAGAACACATCAAAAAAGGAGTTTGTTTGTGTTCTTTTCTTCCCTACAGAGTTTCTACCCCAGAGACCACCAGCTTCACCGCTTATTAGTACTCACATTTTAAAACCAGTGTGTTCAGTGTGCCATTCTTTTGTTTGTTTGTCTTCTCGTGGACATGGGTGTCCATTTTTGCCCTTGATTTGTCAGTTGTACAGAACTTGTTATTAGTCTATAGCCATTCAGAGTGTAACTATACATCGGCATCTCGCCTGTATCCCAGGTAGAATATATATATATATATATATAAATTATAATGCAAGAAACAGAAAAAAGAAAAAAGAGACGGGAAAGAAAAAGTAAAGAAGGATAACCAGTTGAAACTGATTACTTTTGTTTTTTTTTTTTTTTTGAGTGTGCAAAGGGTATAGAACAAGTATTTTTTTCCCTAGCTGGTTTTTGATGTACTGGCACATAATATGATTGGAGTGAAAATGTGATTTTGGTTTTGGTGTGCACATATCTCTTATCTTATCCTGTCTCATCTATTTCCACCCTCATGGCCCTGGATCCAAGGCACAAATATCTAGTATTGAGAAGAAGGAAAAGAAAATGAACACAAAAAACCTGTATGAAGAAGCAAAAGAGAAGAAGGCTTTCATTTTAGCCCTCCCTATTACTTTCATGGTTGAGTTGAGAAAGGAAGTAGGAAGCCATTGTTGAGCATATCTTGTATGAAAGACCCAGAGAACGAAACAAACCAAGGAATTCATCCATGAAGAATAACATCAAAGTGAAGTAAGAAAGTGAAGAGAATTGTACTTACAGAGAGTGGGAAAGCAAGCTTCCATTCTCGTGAAACTGGGACTTTTTTCAGAGTGTTTGTCAGTTTAAGATGACGAGGAAGGTGTTGTTGAGAAGAGGAGAGGTGAGAAAACTTGTGTCGGTTTTAGGAGGGAGAAGCGGAAACCATGATGGATTTGTGGTGGAGGACCAGCATAATCATGAGGAAAAGCAAAAAGCAATTGGTGTAAACGAGGGAGGGAAGTCTCTGCGAAATAAAGTGTTCTTATTTGCGGTAAACTTTCTCGAGAGAAGGTAGGGAGGGCGGAGTAGAGTTTGACTCTTTTGACCTTCAAAATTCTCAAATTAAAGTCAATACGAATTGCAATTGGCCCCACCGTTTATTTTGTTGATTCGAATTTAAAATTTGAGTTTTTTTACAATAAAATTTTTTTATAAATAATCACATTTAATTTTTTTACTACAGTAAAAAGTTCTCATATAAACTCACATCTTAACTCAAATTAAAAACTCAAATCAACAAACTAAACGGCTTATCTTTTCTAAGCCATTTGAAAGAAAACTGGAAAAGCAGGAAAAATAATAAGTGGAAAAGCAGGAAAAATAATAAGTGCATTTGTGAATTTCTTAAGAGAAATGTTAGTGTCTCATTCTCTTTATCACATTAACGTATATTGTTTGACAATTGAATTTTATTATCCCATTTTTTATTTAAATAATAATATATTAAATTAATAAATTTTACGTGTCAAATAATAAATGTAAAAAGTGACAAAGAGTAACAAAAATAATAATGAGAATATTTCTCATTACTTAAATAATATAAACAATCCCAGACGTGAAATCGTCACACCATTCAAATTACGAGACACTAGTTAATGAAAGATAAATCCTCTCGGTGTGTGCACTTGCAACTGACAGTCTAACACTGTTACATGCATATTTAGAAGGGTTAGTTTTGTGCCAGTAAAAATATGTACGGTGTGAGAAGTGAAAGGATAATTGTTCTTAGCTAACAATATCTGTTTTGGATTTAACCTCTGCTTATTGTGTAATTCCAGCAAAAATAAAAAATAAAAAATAAAAAATCTGCTTATTGTGACATCACTATCTAAAAGAAGAAGTAATTATATAAACTGTATTTTTGGACCTATTTAGACATTCATGTCATTAACCCAACTGGAAATAATTACATAAACTGTCTAGTATCAGTCATGTGAATACTTTTTAGACACTCAGATAACTGCATAGGTCAACAATCTCGTTTACATGGATAAAAAGTATTGTATGCCAAAATATTTTCTCAATATTGGACCTGTCCACTTGCTTTTACCAATATCCCGAGTATTATCTAAATATGGGGCCATTAATCTCATGCCCTACAATGATAATATAACAAAAAGGAGAAAAGGAGGGGGGGAAAAAAAGATGGCTGTGTAATTTCAAAATTGTAAGAGTGCCTCTTCACATGGGCTTTCTCTTCTTTTGCAATCTCTGCAACTTCCTCCATTTGAGGTAGATCTGATATGACAAGCCAGAAAAGACCATTACGACGCAACCCCATTGCTTCACTGACAGGGGATTGCCACTCAGCACCGAAGATACTACAATGCTGACAAATTTGCGGGTGGTGGTGATGGTGGTGTTGGCAAGGGAGCCAAAGCGGCTAATGGTAAGGAAAATAAAGTTCTGGCCAACTGCCCCACATAGGCAATAGAGAAAGATGTCCCATGCTGCTTCTGGATGCTGCTTGCAGAACTGAACCGCCTCAAATCCGATAGCATGAGGCCAGCCAAACATGTATATCAAGTTGTATATGGTTCCCCATAAATTCATTCCCAACATTATGTCCCAGGCACTTGTCTTTGGGTATCTGAAGATTGGATACATCACCATGTAAGATACTCTCAAGCATTCTATGACTATGACGTTATATATTTGCAAAGTGCTTTGATAGAAAATGCAAATTGAACAAATAGCCATGCTGCATTTTCAGCTACATAGAAGAGCGGCCAATTTAAATTATTACTCCAATTCTCCGTCTGTGTTGTGACAATATATATTATATGAAAATGAATAACCTAGTCAAGCCTTTACCATTCTTCCCCTCCCGGGTAAAATTCAATAAATATTAAAATGCCATTACCTAGTCAAGCCTTTCCCATACTTCCCCCTCCTGGGTAAAATTTAATAAACAAAACAAGAAAAGATAAGTGAGCAGCAGAAAGGGAACATAGTTTATTAGCATACCTAGAATTTATCGAATCCTGAGTGGCATTCGTAAATCCATCAAATGCTAGGTTAAGGAAACATAGCCCGTATCCAAGGGGAGCATTTGGATGAGCCAGCTTGCTAATAGTCTTTGAGCTAGTCTGAGAGCAGCGTGAGTACATGGAAGAAAACGTTAGAACAGAACTGAAAGCATGTACACCCCAAAAAAGTAAAAACTAAAACAAAAAATCACAGAAAATAAAAAGTCATACTACCTCCATTCTCATTGATAGTAAAAATTCCTAACCTTCAGCAACGCAAATGTAGATACCCCTCCAGCAACAAGGAGAGTGCAAGCATACTCGGGAAAAGTATATCTTATGCCATAGACTAGAGTACCCATCAACATCACTGCAAGATTAAAATATAGGGTTGGTAAATCTCTTCACTTTCTTTTTCTTTTTAGGATAAGGGTACTTCATAAACAAATAATCAACATACCCAAACAAACAGATTAAAATAAAGAATGCCATTCTCATGAACATCTAATTCAAAACACGTGAATTTTATAACATTAATGTTGAGAGACCATATAATATCTAATTCATCAGTTTCACAAACTAACCTATTACTCAAACTAAATAGAAACTACAGAATTGTGAATATCTCACCTGGGATCATTTTCGAGGATTTTGCCAAGACCTGAAAGTGAAATGAACAACATTAACAATGAAAACCACTTAAGCAATCATTCTAAGTTCTAGCATTACTATCGAAGCTGCAAAACAAAATTTTCTAGTGAAACATATCCATGTCACCACAATTCAGCATCATACTCTGCATTGCCCATCAGAATTGCACCCGAAAAAACTGCTAAAAAACAAAACTTGATGAAAGAGAAAGGAAAACGAAATTACCTGAGCCGGATAACTAATGTACTTGAGGGCTTCGATTCCCATAGCTGGTCCAATAGTATTCGTAATACCAGCACTCCAAAATGTCCACCAAGGCGCACCACCACCGCTGCCACTAGACCACAGCTTTATCACTGTTCAATCAGACACATATAAGATACAATTATCTTATCTAAATCCTAAAATCATCTGATTTCCAGGCAAAGAAGACAAAAGAAAGCAAAAAAATCACTTACTTATATAGGACCATATCAAACACACAACATTCTGGGCCAAATTTAGGAACGAAAGGTGCTCAAACCTCTTCCCATCTGGACCGAATCGCTTAGTTGACCTAATCAAAGAAGAAAAACTCACTTAATCTGTGCTCTAAATTAAGATCAATGCGAAGGACAAGGACAAGGAAACGGCGATTGAATGTAAGAAAAGCCCCAAATGCTGGTAACTGACCAACCATTCCAGATTCAAAGATCAAGGAATACAATCTGCTCAGAACTTCCGGTATGGAAGAGAGAGACAGAGAGACAGAGAGACTTACAGGGTTTCCTGAAGAACACCTTGGTAGATATAGGCTGACCAAATCCCGGCGACGCAGAAGGCCAAGACAAAGACGCGTCGCAGTCCGGAGGCGTGAGCTTCCATTTCCAGCGATTTTCCGAGATCAGACGTCGCCGGAGATCGGACGCGAAGAAGAGAAGATCGGGAAAATTCTGTTTGTTGTTGGGATTTCTGTTTTTATATTAATTAACTGCCAGAGAGAGCCGGTATTATAATAAGCGCCGAGAGACGTGGATTTATCTACGTGGCGGTTTTCTATTGGGTCGATGACTTTAGGCTCCGCTTCTTATTGGATGCGCAGACGCGGAACCCTTCTCTTTCCAGCAACTCTCTTTATATTTCTCTCTTTCTTTAGTGATAAAAGTAGTCCGTACACTAACATACCGTTAAATTGAATTTTATATCCGTTAAATTTATATAAAATTACGTAAAAATTAAAAAATATTCAGATATAATAATTAAAAAAACTTCATCATTATTTTTCCTGTTTCTATTGCTTGATAATTGAGGACAATAGTTGTTTGCAAGATTTTTTTTACTGACAAATGCTAAAATGTTCACGTATTATCATTTCATTTCAATATTTTTCTTTTTAAAAAATTGAATTATTCTTTTTTTTAAGAGAGTAGAGCTGAACAAGTTCAATGGTAAAACAAAATATTTTTGTGAATTTCATACAGTGAGTGACGTAATTTCACAAAATTAGTGTTGAAAATTTATTTTAAAAAAAGAAAAGAAAACCGACACTTTTCCCCTTCTAGTTAAGTTTTCGGAAGAAATCTGTATTAGGTATTGGAAAAAAGAAAATCATGTTAAGAGGTATGAAAGTTTAAACATAATAATACGAAAAAAATGAAAAATTTTATCGCTCAGAAGATTTGGAGAATGTTTGTTTCTTGTATTCATCTCTGATTCTGAATTATGATTCATAATTTTTTATAGTATTTTTCTCTCATAAAAAACACACGTCAAACGAAAATAATTCTAAATCATAATTTTAAATTTATGAACTAAACGTCCACTTAGATTCAGAAACTTCATGGCATGACACTAAACCGTATCAAGGACACTTGTGTGTCATGTGAGCCTACTATTTCAAGGACACTTCTTTTTTTTTTTTTGGGTAAAATATCTATCATTAACTATTTAATCAACGTATATAGCTCACCACGATAATTAGGTCCATGGATTTACAATCGTCATGGACTGGTAATCACAGGTTAAAGTGCTGAGTTATCGTTTTGAAATTTAGACCTCGTTCATTTCACCAATTCGAGTTTTGTTATAGTAAAAAGTTCTCAGAAATAGTCACATCTAACTTTTTTGTTACAGTAAAAAGTTTTCACACAAAGTCACATCTCAACTCGAATTAGTGAACTAAACAGTTAAATGTGAAGTTTTGTTTGATTAGCCAAAAAAAAATGTAAAGTTTTGTTTTCTTATTGCTAGCACATATAGTGAGGCGAGATTAGAGTAATGCGCTTTTCGTCTAAAAAAAAACATTTATAGGGCATCCAACGAGCATGTCTATAAACGATTGGAGAGCCCTTTTGGGTAGGACCGGCAATATGGGTCATGTCACGACGACACAACTCGTAAACGACATGAATTTTGCGGGTTAAGGTTGAGAAAAAAGAGGTTCGGGTCAGAATTGGATCGACCTGAAATTGACACGAAAAATACGGGTCAATTTTGGATTTGACTCGCCTAACCCGAACACGACACGAAACTCGTAAAAAACTAAAAAAGACATATTTATCATTGCATATTTTAAATTTTAGTATGAACTTGTGATATCATGATAGTTATACTCAAAATCTTATATTATTATTTGCTTAATTTCAATGGATGTTATTGTAATTTAGTGTGTTATGAATTTTAAGTTATTTTTAATATGTAAAAAACTAAATAAAAGTATACAATTTTCGTGTCAATTTCAGGTTCACGGATCAATTTCGTGACACGAACACGACACGTGACACGAATTATCACCCCTAATTTTAGGAGATATGTTAGCGTTGATTGCCTCCTTCTAAAACTTTTTATATATATTTAATCAAACAAAAAAAAATCTCACGGATTTACACTAATCAATGACTAAGGAACTATATATACACATCACTCGCAAAAACTTCTCTTCACTTCCCCAACCAAAAGATTCAATTTCTCCACCCAGCATCCTGACTTTACATGCAAAACGTACCCCATTAATACGCTTAACTCTAGGGCTTCAATTATTAATGGCTATAAAACACGCAATACTTTAGTTAGCAATTGTTTGAAACAGAAAAAAGAAACGTACAAATAAAGGGATTTTGACCAAGTCATTCGCCATATTATGTCATACGTGTGTGTGTAATATTTCCACTTGTAGTAGCAAAGGGCCCACTTGAGTCAAATTTGTCACGTGGGAAAACAAACTTTTTTACGCACATAATTTTCTATGTGGATATGATGACTCAGCAACTTTTGCTGGTAAATCCTTTGGAGCTTTCGCGTGTTCTTCCTACGATCACGCCATGTAATGTAACGTTTGAGTAGGGAAACGGGAATCAGCACTAGGCAAATCACAGCCGTTGACGAGTTATCCTGTGGGGGTACATGTACGCAAGGGCAAGAACTGATTGTCGCGTCGCGTAACGTAAACAATTACTGAAAATCAACGCTTTGGCGCCATCAAGGTGGTAGCCCAGTGGGTATTTGGCTTAATCCCCAGGTTATCGACTTATGTCTATTAACTCTTAGGGGTTGTTTAGTTGGAGAATTCGTACTTCGATTTGAATCATAATTTATAGTTTGTTATAATATTTTCTCTCATAAAAAACGCACGTAAATTAAAAATGGTTCTAATTTTATGATTCTAATTCATGAATCAAACGTCTAATAAGACTAAAGTTACGCTCTTCATTCCAACATAAGTAAGTTTTGCCTAAATGCATACAATTCATAACAATTTAGTATGTACGACTATTTGGTTGATATTTTCTTTTAGTAACGCAATTGTAAATTGTCTCACTTATTGGAAAGTTGTATGATATTATTTTTATTAGAAAAGATTCATATTAAATGTAAGAAGTCCAAACAACTATGACAATGAGATGCAATATCTCCGTATCTTTTTATGTTGGCTATGGAGATTCTCTGAATATTGATGGTTAAGGCGTCTTTTGAGAGTGGTCACGGAGTGTGAGTTTCTACAAGGGTTCCTTCAATATTCCACTTGGTATTAATAGATGATCGTTTCTTCTTTTTTTACTTTGCAAATCCAAATAGGGTGTGTATGCTTTAAGGAAATTGTAAATTATTTTCGGGATTTATCGAGACTCAAAATGAATAAGGATAAATATGATTTTGTTTTCTCCAAAAATTTAGTTGTTGGTCTTAAATGGCAATGCAAGGAGGTAGAGGGTTGTCGTGGTCACTCCTGTGGTGCATTGGTGCTTCGTATTTTGGGAATCCTTTTTTTTTTTTTTTTTTCCTTATGTCGAAGAAGAGCTAGAGATTTTGAGTTTTTGAAGAGGAGAGTTTTGTCGCGTCTAGAAACACTACAAGAAAAAAGGTCATTTACGGCGACTCATTGTCGTTGCAAATAGGTGTTATATCGTCGCAAATAAAGCATTTTCGACGACATGTCGTCGTAAATTAGTCGCCGCGAAAAATTAGCCGCAAATGATCTATTTGCGGCGACACAATTTTGAGATGTCGTCGCAAATGTATTTGCGACGACAGTCGTCGCTAATAAGTCGTCATGAATGTTCTGTCGAATATGTCGTTGATGATGACGTGTCATAGATTATTTACGACGACAACAAGTCGTCGCAAATGTACTTGAAACCTTTTGTGACTACATTGTCGTCAATAATGTGTAGTATTTGCGACGACATCGTAGAAATGTCATCGCAAATAGTATTTTTTTTTTTTTTGGTATGTTCCTAATAATATTAATTAATGAAGATAAAAATTTGAAAAAAATTTATAATAATATAATTGATATAAAATAGTGAACACAACAATAAAATAAGTCTTAAAAGGTAAATTAATTAAGAAATATTAAAAAGTATTGATAATAAAAAATAAAAACATATATTTTAATCTCCTAAATTAGCAGCATAGTCATCCTCATCCTCGTCTTCTTCGTTTCACTCAGGCGGTGGAGGAACCAACGGTTGGGGGTGGTTAACTGGCAAGAAGTTGATGTTGGGATTCATCGAGCGCATGACTTCCATCATGATCTGTTAGTTGTCGAACATGTTGCGTTGCTCAATGTAGAGGTTATTCAGCCAGTTTTGGACATGCTGGGGCAAATTAACCGTAGACGACCCGTCCGATTGCGAAGCAGATGATGAGGAGGAAGCACCTGAACGATTCCTCCGTGGCAGTGTCGGTCACACTCCTTTAGTGTGTCCTCTGCGCTTTTCCAAGACTTGGGATATAATCCCCTCCTCATTGACCGCCGTGGATGAACCTTCCCCAGTAAATTGTGTCATCTGCGTGGTTCTTTCTACCTCCATCTGAGCTTGCAAAGGTAAATAAAATAAAAATAAATAAAAATAGTATAATATGTGATGTTAAATATGAAAAAAGAAATAAGTTTAAAATTTACTTACAAACGCATGTTATGCATCCGGATTGATAAAATTATGCCCATGACGGTGCATGTCACCCCAATTGTCAATTAATGATCTTGGCTCCTGGGTCTCGGAATTTGCCTAATCAAGTTGAGCGTGTTAGAATAATTATTAAGCCAAAGTGACAAAAACTTAACAAGTATGCAAATTAGTATTACCTTATCGAAACGATGCTGAGAGTATGACTTTCTACCATGGAAGCTAGACCACTTCTAACTGCCATGGTTTTGTTGATTTGTAGTAGATTTTTTCTAGCAATAATCATAGATGAATTAGTAACATACTAATAATTAAATAAACCAATTAATAAAAAGTAAGAAAATATAATGAAAATGAACCTGAAAAGTAAGGGACGTAAAACGATCACAGTAAGGTCCCCATTGCTCTTTGCTCCTCAAGTTTTTAGGAGGATTTTGCCTGACAAAATCTTCATTTTCTGCCCCTCCCATCTTCTGGAAGTGTCTGTGCAAAGTAGTCTTCCAGTCCTTATAACATTTACTGGCTTCACGGTCGGCTACATCTCTAATGATGCCGTTGT